GCGCGCAAGACGCGGCACGCGCGAGACATCCTCGGAATTCCTGCGCGCGGGGCGCTTTTCCGCGTCGCTGTCGGCTCTGCAAAACCAGCGTTTCGCTCGAGACATCCTCAACAAATTCTGAAAATAAGCGTTTCGCTCGAGACACCCCCAATTTTGCAAAAGCAGCGCTCCGCTCGAGACATCCTCAACAAATTTGAGAGAAAAAAAAAAAAAAAAAAAAAAAAAAAAAAAAAAAAAAAAACGCTCCAGACATCCTCAAATTTTAATCCGCCGGCGCACCTCGACCTCGATATTTATCAAGGAAAAATCCGCCGCCGTACCTCAGTTGAGGCACCGGGGACAGGTTACCAAACTAAAAGAGAACCCTGGGCCCACGCCCTTTCCGGGAAAAGACAATCATCAACAGATGATCCGCTTCCCCTCACAGTTGTGGGACTGGGCCCTCAAGAACAAGGGCCTCCTGACAGCCGAAGCGTCCAAGCACAAGAAGGCCGCCAAGACTCACAAGGCTTGCGGGGGTTTGGGATACCAGCCGCGCAACCCGTTCAATTTGGTAGTTTTGGTTCGGCGAACGGAGCTGGTATGCAGCGCCTCTCGCCGCAATCGAAACTGAACACAGGTGTTTGGGCGCGCGATGAATATCCAGGCGTTCGTCAAGAGTGAGAACTGGAGCGCGCGGGCCACCAGCGCGGGAGGAGACCTGGACGTGTGGTACGAGAAAAACCTCTGCAGCAAGCTGATGAACAAGGGCTACCAAGAACTCCAGCGACAGAAATGGGTGGTGGAGGCCGAGCTGCAGAACAAACAAAAGGAGAAGAAGCAGGTCTGAGGAACGATCAAACAGACAGCCCGTCTCGCCCAGCTGGGGGTTCGGGGGCAAGGGGCTGTCCTGTCTGCCCGCGCGCTCAGCGGGCCCGAGGGCGACGAGGTCATGCATTAAGTTCTCATGCCTGGCAGTTGTACGCTTGTCCCAACCACCCTGTGATATTGGATCCTCGGTTTGACGAGCAAGCGCCCCGCGTCACTTACCTCACCCGCCTCTCCATCCCTCCTCCCATGCCTGCCTCTGCCCTCCACATGTCCAATCCGCCACACCTCTCACACGTTTCGTGGCCCCACAGGGAGCTCCACCAAAAGCCCCAGCGGCCGCGTGCGCATGCAGTTCCCCGCCCGCCGCATGTCCATGTCGGCACACCCCTCGCATGCTTCGTGGCCCCACAGGGAGCTCCACCGAGGGCCCCAGCGGCCGCGTTCGCACCAAGTTCCCGCACAGCGCATGCTCATGTCGGCACACCCCTCACACGCTGCGAGGCCCCATAGGGAGCTCCACCGAAGGCCCCAGCGGCCACGTCCGCATGAGGTTCCCGCACACCGCATGTCCATGTCCGCACACCCCATCATGCGCTTTGTGGCCTGATAGGGGCCCCCACCGAAGGCCCCAGCGGCCGCGCGCGCATGCAGTTCCCCACCCACCGCATGTTCATTTCGGCACACGGCACACCCCTCACACGCTTCGAAGCCCAATAGGGAGCTCCACCGGAGACCCCAGTAGCAAGGCTCGCATGCGCCCCCCTCCCCACCGCCAAGTCGGCACACCCCTACACGCTCCCTGGTCACAGAAGGGCCCAACCGAAAACCTCAGTGGCAGGGTTTACGGGCGACACCCCCGCCGCCGCATGCATAGTTTCCCACTATGCGGAGCAGTGGGCCGTCGTCGAGCGCGCGAGTGCGTCGTGCGCACGAACAGGCGCACCGAGACGGCTCTTGTTAAAAAAGACAGGCCGCGTTGCGATGGCCTGTGGCCTGAGATGCGCAACAACATCTCAAACAACGTTCACACTTCCGACTGAGAGCGTTGCCGCACGAATGTGTGGTATTGTGTGTGGCGCATGCTGAAGTCAAACAATGACCTGCTCCAAAATTCAGGGTAACCGTCCGCGCAAGCCGAGATGGCCCGCATTAAGCAGTCGCTTCACGAGTGCAGTTCGCCCGCGTGCAGGAGGCGCGGCCTGCAGAGTACATCGTGTCATGGGTTGTTGGTCTACCTTCTGTACGTCTTTGCTCCATTGTGTTATGAAAATGCCTGGCCGTTTGCAACTTGCGCGGTTCGGGGAAAACACATCAAACCATCCAGGCCTGCATCGGGCCTGCTTCGGGGGGGAGGAAGAGGAGGAGGGAGAGGAGGAGGGGGAGGAGGAGGAAGGAGGAGAAGAGGAGAAACAGGAATAAATCCAGGGGAACTTTGCAAAACGCTGGCTACGGCCATCATGGAACATTGGCGGCCACTACTACAGCAGCAGCGTCATGAAGGGCTCCCCCAGGAGTGGGAAGCCTCCTGCTGCCGACTAGACCCTTATCTGGAGCCCGAGATGGGAGCGGACTGCACCACAAAGCAGGTCCGCCTCAGAGAGTAGCAGACCCCTCACCCCGCCCAGGCAACCTAGACATTCGCCCTGGGCATGCAGCACAGTGGCCGAACCAGCGGCGAGGACAGAAGGTTCGGCTCTGGCACGCTAACGCAGCCAGGCCAGGGGAGAGGGAACTGACGGGCCGACTCGGACGGTGTGCCGTACATCGAGGGCTGCCACGGCTAAGTACATACTGGGCGTCGTGCAGTTACTTGGCTGGGCGCGCCGTCTGTCACAAGGCTACCTATCGGTCCAGCTTGGTGGTGGGTCCTCCGGTCTCTGCCTTGCCTAATCACGAGGTCTCTGGCCAGTCGGGCCTCGCTGGACTACGGTTGGGGTGTCCTCTGTGAGAGGCGGTTGGGGCGGCAATCGATGACGCTGATGAAGAATGCTGCGGGCTAGCCAGAGCGGCCGCAGTGCGGGTGGGAGTACCGCGGTCCGCTATTTTCGAGACATTGCATCAGAGAGAGCGGTGCTGGTGACGCGCCAGCCCTGGGGGTTCCGCCTGATCAGATGCTGCGGCGTGTGCACGACGAGAGGGCCACTCAGCAAGTGCAGCGAGCTGTGCGACATGATCAACCTGCAGCAAGCAGTGGCGACACTATCTATTAACTGCACGGCCAGAGCCAAGAGAATGAGCGCAGCTGGGCAAGCAACGGCAAAGACATCCACATCATGAAAAATTGCCGATGCACATCTCGGGTGGTGGACCGTTAGTACGTCTGCCTCGTACCGGCCCTCGGGAACCCACGGGGCAGGGCAAGCGAACATTGAGACCCACAGTTGTGCGAATGCCTACCGGTCTTGACGTGAGTGAGTTGTTGAGCCTCCCTGCTAGAGTTGTGCGAGGCCTGTCGAGAGCCGAGATGTGCTCACAATGTGTTTATGTTTGGCGCGGCTAATGAACGTTGTCTCTGAAGGTTGTGCGATGCGGTCGAGCCAGGACAGGCAACTGGTAAGACGGAGTGGTGCCTACCTGGATATTGGGAGAACTACCGACGGAACGCGACTCCAACACACCAGCAACACCCTGATTCCCTCGCTTTTCGCTGAGCCTGGTCCGCGAGGGTGGCGCCTCGAATATCCTGAACTTGCCTGACTGGGGGAGGGGCCCCCCCGCACGAGCACCATGTAGACGGATTACCTTTTTGTGGCCAGCGACCCCCAGAAGCGGAACTGTGGGCCCTGGCCGCACCAGAATTCTGCGCCGACGTAGACGACATCGACGTGGGGCTCGCCGCCCCGCGCCGCGACGACCACTTCCGAAGGCTCGGCCGCGGGCGCGTGCGAGGCCGCGGGGGAGGTACGGGGTGAGCGTGCCGGCCGCGCTCCCAAGGCGCTGGGTCAGGCGGCCCCACCTCCCCGCGTGCCTGCGCCGCCAGGGGGAGGGGGGTGAGCGTGCCGCGTTCCGACTCCGTCGCTGCTCAGAGGAGGGGACAGGCGGGGGAGCAGGGTCGGAGGGGGCTTGTGGCCCCCGCCTCACCTCCGGGCAACGCGGGCGCGAGGCGCGGTGCGCCGGCGCTGAGAACGCGACGGCGTGGGTGCGCCAGCGCGAGCGCAGCAGCAGCAGGTGGAGGGGGAAACGGAGAAGGGAGAGGAGGAGGACCAGTGTAAACCCAAGATCCATCAACGGTGTTGCAAACAAGCCTCCCTTCAAGTTCCCTCATCGCAGGTCTCTGCAACAATGTGTTTTCATTGTGGGAAGCGCTCCGTTGGAAGACGACCCTCTGAAGAACTGTAACGATGCCCAAAACATCATTCCAGGGACTTCGTGCCAGGACACCAATCCTGGGAGACCAACACCGCACATCAAAATGACTGTCGCGTCCTGACAATCATAACCGTTCCGACACACAATTTCTGGGACGTCAACGATACGAATCCTTGCAACTACAACCGTGAATGGTAAAGACTAATATGCGCGGCGCGAAGGGGAGAACAATTTGTTTGAAAAGAAACCGACCTCCATCCGTGAAACCCCTGCAAACTTTTAAAACGAATTTGCACGGCGCTTGGGCGAGAACCGCATTTTGAAAACAGCACACCCCTTATCCGTGGAGCTCTTGCTAACGCTTGAGACGCATGTGTACGGCACTAGAACAGCATTTTGAAACACGGCCCGCTCTCTATCCGTGCAAATCTTGCGAATTTTCGGGACGAATGTGCGAAACGCTAATGGGAGAACCACATTTTGGAAACGGCCTGCCCTCCATCCGTGAAAGTCTTGCAAACTTTTAAAACGAACGTGGCGGCGCCAAGGCGAGAGCCACATGTTGAAAACGGCCCGCCCCCCAAACCATGAAACACTTGCAAACTTGCAAGACGAATGTGCGCATCGCTCCAACGAGAACCACATTTTGAAATCGACCCGCCCTCCATCGGTGAAACTATTGCAAATATCGGCTTCAAGATCATGAAACAGTGAGGAAAGCTCAAGCGGAACGCCCGGTCCGCCCTACCGACCCGTCTCGGGTTCTGACAGGGAGGAGGTATCTATAAGGAAGAGGGGTGGAGAAGGAGGAGGAGACAGAGGACGAGGAAGAGGAGGACACCCTCCTGTCCTCCTGTCCCCTGCGAGGGCGGCCACCGATCCTCCTTCTCGATGGCGACGTAGAACTGGCGGATACCTCTGGCAGATCGAGCCACGCCGCGTTTCCCGCGGGGGGGCGGCGCGGAGGGGATTTTACGTGTTCGACCATCGGCCCCTTGTTGCCCATCGATCCTGGGCAGTTTTCGGCGGTTTTCGGTTAATGTTCGGCTGTCTTTGACTGTTTACGGCTCTGTTCTAATGGTTTTCGGCGGTTCTCGGCGGTTTCCAACGGGTTCCAGCGGTCTTCGGCGCGAAAGCTGGATGGTTGCGTTCAACAAGAGGTCCATGATCGAACACCTGAGGGGTCGGGATCGCGGGTTGTCTGGGGGAGAGGGCGAAGAAAGGATCGAAGATCGAAGATGGTCGAGCCTTCTCCCCCTTCTTCTCCTCCTCCTCCTCCTCCTCCTCCTCCTGCTCCTGCTCCGCCTCCTCCGCCTCCAACACCACCTCCTCCTCCTCCTCCTCCTCCTCCTCCTGGGACCTCCAGATATCTTCACGGGAGGAGGATCGGGAGGAGGCTTCAGGACAGAGGAGAGGCATGGAACAAGCTTGTCATTGTTTGAGGTGGACGAGGCCCATCACGATGTTTCGCGCCCCGGGATCACGTGCCCAAGGCGCGGGACCCACAGTGCAAGGCAGCTGACAGGGTTCCATCTTCCCTGCGCAAGGCCGCAGGGGCCCACGGCAGAAGGGCCGTCGGGACGATGGCCCAAAGTTTTCTTCCTGGGACTTTGAATATCACGGGTGCCGCCGCGCTGACTTTCCTGTGGTATCGTTATGTTGTCGATTGTGCGGGTCTCAGACAGTGGCCCCATAGATCTGCTCCGGAAGGCAGAGAAAGAGGAGGGGGATCACGGCGTAGGATTGTCAGAATGAGCAGTCACGTTAGTTCGGGGTGTTGAACTCTCAAGTATGGTGTGTGGGCACGTTGGGGATGTTCAGACAATTGTCTTCCCCACTGGGGCACTTCACGCACTGGAAACGGACCTACGAACGGAGAACTTAGAGGGAGGGTTCACTGAAACATCATTGGTCCGTGTTGGGCTTGCACTGGTCCACCTCTTCATCCAAAACGTCCGGGGCGAGGGAAGGAATCGGAATGAGAAGTAGGAGATGGCAAGATCGCATCTGGGAGGGGTCTGGCACCCTAGATGGGGTCCGAGCAGATGGGGTCGGAGGGTCGCGCCGCAGCGACAATGCAACGACGATACATCGGCGATGCATCAGCGATGCCTCGACGATGCATTGCCGACGTCGGCGACGCATCGCCGGCGCCAGCGTGAAGATCGGGCTCCGCATCAAACCGCGTCCCCGATGCATCCGCGATGCGGCGGCGCAATGCTCCGACCCAATCTACTTCGACCCCAAATGGGAGGCCCAAGCAAGAAGGGGTAGACGGGCAATTTGAGTCGTCTTCAGCCGAAACAGCGGACAGACCAAAAAGATTGCAAAACCTGGGCGTCCTTCGCGCGCCCTTGTTGGCTGTCATGACGCTCTTGGGACCGTCTTGGGGCCGTAGTGAAGTCATCTGAAGCCCGTCTGGTGCCATCCCGGGCCGCGCTGGGCGCCCCGGACCCAACAGCCTGGTCGGGAGTCGCTTTGTGTCGCGTTCATTGCCCTGCGCATGTGTGAACTCAAGAAACTAACACAGATGCATGAGTTTCCGGCGTGCGGCCGTCGCTCACGAACCCATACGCTCGCGGGCGCGGGGAGGGGGTCATCCACCTCCTCCTGCTCCTCCTTCTCCTCCTCCTCCTCCTTTTCGTGCTCCGTATCGTCTCTCCTTGCAATCTCTGGACGCACCCTCCAACGTCAGCTCGTCTTTCTTCACGAGGATCCGGATGGCGTCGCGCATGAATTTGGTGGTGAGGTCCAGGATGTCAGGCGGCATGGTTGCCGAGAACAGGCAAACCTGAGATAGAAACGCGCCTCCTCTTGAGTTAGTGCCTCATCACCCCATCAAACTCCTCTTTGTTCAGCCACCTCCTCAAACATTATCGTCCTCCCTCCTCTCCGCCTATCCCACCATATCCGCTGTTCCCTCCTATCTCCTCCTCCCCATCCCTTCACATGCTTGTTTTCTCACAAAGTCCCCCCGCATCCGCCTCTCCACAACACATGTCCTCCTCCACCTACTCCCCTCACCTTCTCCTCCTCTTCCTGTTGTTCCGTCCTCCTGCTCCTCCGTCCCCCTCCTCCTCTTACGTTTTATGTTCGTCCCTTTCTTCATCGAGGCCCGAGGTCATCAGCTCCAGCGTTGGAAACACAACGCGCAAAATGTGCAAGCGGCAGGCGGCTCCGACACTGCATTGGGAGAAGCGGGAGGCAAAACTGGAGCTAGAGCTTGTGAACAACCGTCAGTCATTCACACCATTGGCGCCCATGTCAGAATTAGCATAGGTAGGCTCAAACATTTCTCGCCCGAGTCTCTTACCTGAAGTCGGAACGATTTCCATGCTTAGTGTCGGCCCGAGAAACACCACCCCATGTGGTAGTACCGCAGCCGACGGTCCCGCCGGATCACCAGCCCGAGACCCATGACCTCCGACGCATAGAGACGTCCATGAAATCACCAGAACTGCATGATCACTGTTGATACCGATGCCGCGTTCCAGCATGTCCTAATACTCCCTTACTCGAAGCAAAGTGTTTACAGCTTCGGCTCCGAGAGAAAACGATCTTAGTAGCCCAAACATGGTGCGCACCCACAGATCTGACACGACAGGGAGAGGCGGAGGGAGGACAGGCTCATTCTGCGATGCATAGAATATCGTCAGACTCGGGGTCGTGTACTCGGGGCCAGTAACGCCCGACGACGATTTATCCAGTGTGTGTGTGTGAAGTAACCACCCGTCCATTAGCGTCGTCTCTTGCACCACTGGTCGCATTGCCACTCCTGTAATTCCCTCTACATGTGCGTGGCTGGCGGCCGTCCGTACTTCCGCTTCGTCTGCCTTTGTTTTGAGCGCCGCCGTCAGGTAGCTCCTGAAATGAGGGTCCCCCACCGCTATTGCCAGTCGCATCATGTTTTTTTTCGTGCATGCGGTCGATCGTGCAAAGGAGCACCAGCTGGGACTTGTGCTCTCAGTCGTAGCTGTCGCAGTCCGCAAACATCATCAACAAATGCTGCTTAGGGTCTCCTCGAGGCGGGCCCATGTCGCGAGTTGTCCCTTGTCTTGAACGATATTGGCGCACGCTGCCGCCTGTTCCACCATACAAAATATAATCGGGCTGTCGCTCTTGAAGATCTATGCGTCGAATCTCACGCTGTTCATGTCTCTGTTCTGTTGCGCGCACCTCATCAACTGTGCCACGAAAGCAAGCATAAACTGTTTGGTGTGCTGGGGTAGCTGCTGCTTGGCCGCCTCCATCGTATTCGTCCTGTTGTCCTCGTTGTCCTCGCCCCCTGTGCGTTGTCGGCTGCTGCGTTCGCATATCTGTCCCACATTGGCGTCGGCGCTGCCTGTCTGGAGCAACGCGGGCATAATCCAGATATGGACTAGGTCGGAGCAGGTGCGCCCAGCCTTGGTCCTCGCACAGACAGGCCAAATCCGAAAAGGCAACGGACCACAGGGAACAGGTTCGGCCTGAACCATCCTGGCGTGGCCAATCCATGGTGTTCTTACCCATTTTGCACTGGCCCTGAGCGTGGGCGAAGATCTAATGGTTCTGTGCACAAGCTCGGCTCTTCACTACTGTATAATGATTCGGCACTGATTCGTGGCAATGCTGCTCGGAATTTTGAACCGGAGTTTGCGCCCAAAGGCCTGATGGACCGCCAACTGAAAATAATGTTGAAATGATGGACCACGACATTGCACTGTTTCGTGATCGATGAGCTCGCAATTGTATTACTTCGGGTTCGTGTCGGTCATAACGTCTGGTCGGTCATAGAAGCGATGCCAGAGAGACCACCAGGGGTATGCGCTGCTGCTCGAAGGATGCATGCCACAATCGAGTCGAAGGGGGTCGCGTTCGGCCTTCGACTCTGGGGTGAGGAGGTCCTTCCAGAATTCGTTCGCGAGGACCCAGGTCTCCCAGAAGTTTTCGGCGCCCCTGATGTCCCGTGCGATATCCCGATCCCTGGAAAGCTGATGGGCCCAGGGTTTCGCCGTAGCTTTTACGCGGCCTGCTTCGTCTAGCGTATGTGGTTCGCTCGGGGCGTGTCCGAATCTGGCGACGAGAGTTTGCCGACGTGCGGCTCGATGACGACACGTACTCTGGAGCCAGTGTATCTTCCTGACCGCCAGCTCGGTTCTTACTGGGAACCTATTCCAATTCTTGAGAATCTCAACGATGCTCAGAACGATCATGTGATAATCGACGTGCACCATCTTGGTTCGGCTTTGGCTCGGAGCCCCAAGGTATTTCACCGTGTGGGAGTCCAGCTTCTTCTCTTCATATGTTTGAGGACGGACGCCTCCAGTCCCGAACGGCATACTTCCACCACCTTCCCTAGAATTAATTCACGCTTCAGCTTCCAAAGTCCCCGCTCGCTCCAAAACTTCCGAAGTTGGCGCCGACCCGCGGTCATGGAGTGCAAGCGCATATAGATCTCCAGCTGGCTGCTCGCTGTCATCGTATACCTGGTTCCAAGATGTCTTGCATCGGAAACAACCTGTCCCTGGGTGGACGGGCATATGATGTCCTGGAGTCTTCGGTTCTCTGGGTGGGATCCGAAACAGGGGACGATGTTTTTATTCCCCAACCATCTTGTGGTGTCCCGCGTTCCTCCTCTGTCCTCCTCCTCCCCCTCCTCCCTCCCTCCTCCCGTCACCCCCCTCACTTTGGCACACACCCCTCACACGTTTCGTGGCCCAATCGGGAGCGCCACCCAAGTGCGCAGCCCGCAAGCGTCTCCCCCACCCAGTTCTGCGTTTCGTCCTATAGTAAGCTCCACCACAGGTCCCAGTGGCGCAGCCCGCATGCGTCTCCCCCACCCAGTACAACGCTTCGTGGCCCCAAATGGAGCTCAACCGAATGTCCCAGTTGCGCAGCCCGCATGCGTTCCCCTCACCCAGCACAGCGTTTTGTGGCCCTCTAAGGAGCTTCACCGAAGGTCCCAGTGTCGCAGCCCGCATGCGCCCCCCCACGCAGTACAACGTTTCGTGGCCCCATAGGGAGCTGTACCGAAGGTCCCAGTGGCGCAGCCCGCATGCGTTTGCCTCACCCAGTACAGCGCTTCGTGGCCAGTGGCGCAGCCCGCATGCGTCCCCCAATCCAGTACAACGTTTCGTGGCCCCATCGGGGGCTCCACCACATGTCCCAGTGTCGCAGCCCGCATGCGTTTGCCTCACCCAGTACAGCATTCCGTGGCCCCGAAAGGAGCTCCACCGACGGTCCCAGAGGCGCAGCCCGCATGCGTCTCTCCCACCGAGTACAGCCTTTCGTGGCCCTATGAGTGGTGTCCACCGAAGGTCCCAGTATCGCAGCCCGCATGCGTCTCCCCCACCCAGTACAACGCTTCGTGGCCACATAGGGAGCTCCACAGAGGGTCCCAGTTGCGCAGTCCGCATGCGTCGCCCCCGCCCGGTAAAGCGCTTCGTGGCCTTATAAAGGGGCTCCACCGAAGACGATACCGACAACTGCGGAATTCACAACTGCATATTGTTGGGTCCTTCGCCATGCATGGTGTTGGGTCCTCGTTTGGGAAAGACATCGCCCCGCGTTCCTCCTCTCTCATCCTCCTCCTCCCCCTCCTCCTCCCCCTCCTCCTTCCTCCATCCTCCCGTCCCCCCCTCACTTTAGCACACCCCTCACAGATGTCGTGACCCCACAAGAAGCTCCACCCGATTGCGCAGCCCGCATGCGTCTGCCCCACCCAGTACAGCGGTGCGTGGCCCTCTAGCAAGCTCCACCGAGTGTCCCAGTGTCGCAGCCCGCATGCGTCCCCCCCACTCGGTACAGGTGTCACACAGCGCTTGGTAGCCCCATAGGCAGCTCCACCGACGGTCCCAGCGTCGCAGCCCGCATGCGTCTCCCCCACCCAGTGCAGCGGTTCGTGGCCCCGTAGGGAGCTCCACCACCGGTCCCAGTGGCGCAGCCCGCATGCGTCACCCACACCCAAATCAGCGCTTCGTGGCCCCAGGAGCTCCACAGAAGGCCCTAGTGCCACCGCCCGCATGCGTCACCCAAACCCAAAGCGGCACACCCCTCACACGTTTCGTGGCCCCATAGGGAGCTCCACCGAAGGCCCCAGTGCCACCGCCCGCACGCGTCACCCACACCCAAGCGGCACACCCCTCACACGCGTCGTGACCCCATAGGGAGCTCCACCGAAGGCCCAAGTGCCACCGCCCGCATGCGTCACCCACACCCATTTCGAATTACCCCTCACACGTTCGTGGCCCCATCGGGAGCTCCACTGAAGGCCCCAGTGCCACCGCCCGCATGCGTCACCCACACCCACTTCGGCCCACCCCTCACACGCTTCGTGGTCTCATAGGCAGATCCACCGAAGACCCCAGTGCCACCCTTCGCACGCGTCACCCACACCTACTTCGGCACACCCCTCACACGCTCCGTGGCCTTACAGGGAGCCCCACCGAAGGCCCCAGTGCCACCGCCCACATGCGTCCCCCACACCCATCTCGGCACACGCCTCACAGCTTCGTGGCCCCATAGGGAGCTCCACCGAATGCCCGAATGCCACCGCCCGCATGCGTCACCCACACCCAAACCGGCACACCCCTCACATGTTTCGTGGCCCTACAAGGAGCCCCACCGACGGCCCCAGTGCCACCGCCCGCACGCATCACCCACACCCAAAGCGGCACACGCCTCACACGCTTCGTCGCCCCATAGGGAGCTCCACCGACGGTCACAGTGCCACCGCCCGCACGCGTCACCCGCACCCATCTCGGCACACGCCCCACACGCTTCGTAGCCGTATAGGGAGCTCCACCGACGGCC